CTCGATCCCAGGACCCTGGGATCATGACCTGAGCCGAAGGCAGACGCTTAACCATCTGAGCCACCCAGGCGCCCTGAAATCAGGATACATCTTAAAAGTGATGGTGTTTTCCATTTAATAAAAGACAATAATAGTAACCAACACACTGCCTGGTACACAGTAAACACTCAGTTAATGGCACGCCAATGTTATCAGTACTACCTTCTTTCACCCATAACGGGACACATCCCTACAGGCACAGCCCCCTGCCCTGGGGCTCAAATGGATGGTATGTGGGAAGGTGAGCTGGTGACCACCCTCTCCTGTTGGGTACCCTCTCTGTGTCAGGAAGTGAACTGCCGCCTCTCTACCCCACCCCGTTTCACAGGACTCATCACAACCTTGCTGGGAAGAAAAGGGAGAACACATGAGTGTAAAAAAGGTGGAATTACCATATAACTGGTAGAGGCTGAAACGAAGCCCCAGGGGGTACGTGTATACCCTAGCTTTGATTGAGACTTCCTTTCTTTGTTAAGGATGTCTAACTCACCCCACGGTGCCTGTCCGGTGCTCCTGGCAAGCGCAGGTGACGCGGGGGTGGAAGTCTTTGTGCACGTGCAAAGCGGCCTCCTTCCTCAGGCACTGAGGGAGAGAAGAGAATGGGACTCACCCACTCCTGGCCCACGTCCCGCAGCCAAGCTGCCCTGGGCGGGGGTAGGGGACCACCCAGAAGCTGCAGACCTAGCTGGGCGGCAGGGTTGGGCCCAAGCCTCTAACTGATCTGGTACCGCCTCCTCCCCGCCCACACCCCACCCCAGCCAGAAGCCCGACGTGGCCCTGGCGCCTACCTGGGGCAGCTCCGCCAGGACGCGGTCCCTCCGCACCGGCGCCAGAATGTTCATCTCGCCTGCGGCCTTGCGGGGAGCCCCGAGAAGGCGCGGGGGCCTGATCCGCCCCAGCGACCCGGGCCCGTGGAGACCCGACAATCACCCGCGACCGGGGTGTCCCGACTATAACTCTGGGCCACGGGGAGCCTACGGGAGCCCGCGGCCTTGGGGACGCTACGACCACAGCAGGCCACGGGGATGAGACGATCATCCGGGGCCGGGGCGAACCCACAATCACCCGGGCCCGAGGCGTCCCGACGACGACTCGGGGGCGGGGAGACTCCTCCGCCTCCAAATGGGGGCGGGGAGTCCCGTCCGGGGGGGCCCGGGCCCGCGCAGACCCCACAATAACTCGGGGCCGGATAGTTCCTACAATGACTCGGGGCCGCGGTGACCCGACGACAGCTCGGGGTTGAGGCGGCCCTACCATAACAGAGCCGCCCGGGGGCGCGGTGCGGCCCCGCCGCACGGGGTCAGTGTGGGCAGGGATGGCGCTGCAAGGCCCGCGGCCTGCTGGAGGAGGGGGCCAGGGGCCCAGTCCGCTGCAGGGCCCGGCGTCCCACTCCGCTCTCCCTTCGCGAGCGCTGTAACATGATCCCCGGAAATTCCTGGAGAAGGGCCGCCCCCTGCCCCTCTCCCGGCAGCTCCCGGCCTCGCAGCCTGTCCCAGCCTCCCCCTCCTCTCCTCCCCACTGCGCTTCCCCAGCTCTGGGTACCCTGCCAGACGCCTCACGGGCACCAGGACCGCCTCCACCCAGGCTGGAACCCGCCCAGATCGAAGTCCCCCAGGTCGCTCTTCCCTGCGCCTCTGGGCCGGCCTCCGGCTCCAAGCGGACCCTTACCCAGTCAAATTGGTGGTGGAGAATCGGTGATTGCTGCGCAGTATCTGGCTGGGCCAGGAACCGGCAGGGAGGGGAAAGGAGGAGAGAAGGGGCCCAAGGAGAGGCGGCGCTTCCCTCCTCAACTCCAGACCCAGGACGTGACTCATTGAGTCTGCCCCCGCTCGCCCTTCTGCCCGGGATGGAGTGGGGTGGGGGAAAGCCGACAGGGGATGCCAGGGTCGGAATGGGATGCCCACCGAGGAAAGAGACGTCCAAAGTCTGGGGTGTCTTCCTTCAAGGCTCCCGTGTAGGCTGAAGGGTGGGAGGCTGAAGACCAACCTGCCTCCCTCAATGGAGTCTAAAGAAGGACTAGGTGGACCTGAAACTTCGCCCTTTAGGTAGGTCGCTGCTCCGGGAGTAGGGGAGTCTGCCCTGGTACCAGCGTTCTGTCTGATCCCATTGGAATCTTACCCCCAAGGACAACTTTTCCATTTTGCAGTTCTGCAGGACAGGAGAGGAGTGTAGCACACAATAATTCTCACCGTCAAAGGGGAGATCTGGTTCGAAAGAGGGGAGGAGGAAGATAGAAAGTGTAGGGTCCAGGTGGGATAGACACAGACCCTCAGAAAAGCAAACCCAAGCTTTACCTGTTCTGTGTCGGGAACCGAATTCGAGGATGCAAACATGGCCTGGAGCAGGGAAGGGAAGACTACTTGAAGGGAGGGGACTGTGGGGCGCCTGGGTGGCTCAGATGGTTAAGCGTCTGCCTTCGGCTCAGGTCATGATCCCAGGGTCCTGGAATCAAGTCCCGCATCGGGCTCCTTGCTCCTTGGGAGCCTGCTTCTCCCTCTGCCTCTCTCTTTCTGTCTCTCATGAATAAATAAATAAAATCTTTGGGGGGGGGAGGGGACGGTGAATGAAATTATTCACAAGAACTAGTGAGCCCTAGAGAAATCTGTACCCCGGGTGTTTGGAATATTGGTCGTTTCAAGAGTATTATCAGGAAAACGCACGAAATCTGACAGTCACAGGTAAAGAGGGGGTAGATATGACCACCTTCTACGATACTTTTCTCCTCCCCTCTGCCTGACTTGACTTTTTCTGCCACCAAATCCCTGTGTTATTGATAAGCCACATCCCCACTCTGGACTAAATTTCCACAGAAGTTGTTAGAGGGACTTGGACCAGATAATTTCCTAAAGTTCGTTCTTTCTTTTTTTCTTTTTGAGAGAGCGAGCGAGCATAAGCAGGGGGAGGGGCAGAGCAAGAGGGAAAAGCAGCCTCCCCGCTGAGGGGGGGAGCTCCACGCAGGGCTGGAACCAAGGACCCCGAAATCATGACCTGAGCCGAAGATAGCCGCTTAACTGACTGAGCCACCCAGGAGCCCCTGGACCAGACAATTTCTGCTCTAACATTCTAGAGCTTTGCTTCACTCTCCCTGAGTCAACCTAATTATACTCAGTCCAGTTTTCAGTGTTACTGTCTCCTGGAACTGGAATACTCTTTCCTCAAGATGGGAAGCCCTCAGGACGAGACGCCAGCGGCAGTTAGCTACACCGTCCACATCCCCCAGCCGCCGCAAATAAACACGTGTCCCAAAAAAAACTACAACCCCCAAGAAGCTTTAGATTCTTTTGAGGGAAGAGGTGGAGCATGCTTAATCACTCTCGCGAGGAAATCAAACCTAACTACCATTCCCAGAGGGCGCCGCGCTATAGAGTATCCAATCAGCTTTTTAAACAAAAAACATCGCGAGTCTTCGGTGGGACTCCGCTCTATAAGCCCCTGGAAACGAGCCTTGGAAATCCCTTTTACGAAGATGGCGCCGAAGGCTAAGAAGGAAGGTTTGTGCTGGGGCTGGGGAGAGTGCCACAGCTACCTGGCTTGGGATCCCCTTGGAGTGAACGAACTGGGAGGAGAGCGGCTGGGCTAAGCGTTGGGGTGTCTACTCCGGAGCTGTTTCTCGCATTCCGGCACGCTGCGATGCGCGTGGGCCCAGCCGCATGGGCTCGGCTCCTCGGCAAGCCCGGCCGGCACCACCTGTCGGGGGCCGCCAGACTGTTTGCTTTGGGGAACTACACGCATCCACAGGCCGGAGCTCCATGTCTCCAGACCTGTAAAGAATTATAGTCCTCAGGGCGCCTGGGTGGCTCAGACGGTCAAGCGTCTGCCTTCGGTTCAGATCATGATCCCGGGGACCTGGGATCAAGCCCCGCTCTGGGCTCCTTGCTCGGTGGGGAGCCTGCTTCTCCTCCCTCTCCCTCTGCCTGCCGCTCCCCCTGCTTGTACTCTCTAATAAAAAGTAAGAAACCTTAAAAAAAAAAAAAAAAGTTCTCAACTTAGTTTCCTTTTTTTTTTTTTCTCGTGTTAGAGTTATATAGGTAGCTAAAACCACTAGCACACATCTTGTATCAAGCATTGGATCATTGCTAGTTCTTTTTTTTCTTCGTCGTATTCCTGAAGTTACTCTCTGAGTTCGCCCCAGTATTGTGCATATGATGGAAAAATTTTAACCTGAGACTTGTGATGTCTTCAAAGGAACCACTGATGCACGTGTGGGGTGGAGCGCCCGTTAGGGATTTTGAGGACGGAAGTGATTGGTTTCTGAGTCCCGTGCCCTCATTTTCTTTCTTTCTCTCAGCCCCCGCCCCTCCCAAAGCCGAAGCCAAAGCAAAGGCTTTGAAGGCCAAGAAAGCGGTGCTGAAAGGCGTCCACAGTCACAAAAAAAAGAAAATCCGCACGTCACCTACGTTCCGACGACCCAAGACACTGCGTCTGCGGAGGCAGCCCAAATATCCTCGAAAGAGCGCCCCCAGGAGAAACAAGTCAGTACTGTCCTTTCCCATGAAAAGATGTTGGGTAATTTGGAAATTTACCAAACCTACGGCAGGACTTCTCACATACCTGTTGGTACCTAGTGTGCGTCTCTAAGGGGAGTGTGAAAAAGATTGTTAATGCCCTCTTTAAGAACAAGAGATGTTTTTACAACATTGGCAGGAATTGTGTAAAACAGCTCCGTGACTATTAAGGTTAATTGTTAGGTTAATTGCTTCATATATGGTCAGGGTTTTAAAAATTCTGCTTTCTTGGAGTGTAAAGTAGTACTTTGTTTAAATGTTTGTTTTGTTTTGTTTTGGAGTTCCAGGTTTATTCATTGCACCTATTGTTGTAGGGAATAGTCCTTGAGAGTGACAGCGTGGGATGATTCTAGATTGATAAGGACACTTACTAATATGTATTGGACAGAGAAGGCCTGCAACAGTGTATAAAAGGTTCTTCTCGTTTACTCTCAAGTCTTCACTCTCAAAGAAATAGGGGGAAATGGGCAAAAGGTTTAGGGTCTTGAGTGTTTTGGTGCCGCACTAGTAATAATAAAACTGATCTTGGGGGGGCCACAGATCAGAGCAATAGTAGTAACTGCCACTTCCCACTGCTTCTTAAGAAAAAGACAAGGAGAGGGGCACCTGGGTGGCTCAGATGGTTAAGCATCTGCCTTCGGCTCAGGTCATGATCCCAGGGTCCTGGGATCAAGTCCCACATCGGGCTCCTGGCTCAGCGGGGAGCCTGCTTCTCCTTCTCCCTCTGCCTCTTTCCCTGCGCATGCTCTCGCTCTGTATCTCTGTGTCTCAAATGAATAAATAAAATCTTAAAAAGACGAGAGTGTCCAGGGAGGAAACCACTTTTTACCCCCGTTTGGACCTGGGATTTAATGTCAGGAGAGGTTGAGACCTGATGTCTAGCTTTAAGATAGGAACGTAGCGTCCACATAAAGAGACTTGTTTTTCTAAATTTCGGGAAAAGCTGCGTGGTAGGTGTGGTCAAGCTACTGTAAGTTTAACTTGGACTGTAAATAAAAGTTGCTCTAAATCAGTGGCCCTCAAAACCAGTTTTCAGCAACCAATGGGGGCAGAAATGTCTGTTAAATCTCATAGTGAAGCACCAGCATTCTTTGGAACTCTACCCTGGGTTTTAAGATTCTGTAGTCTAGCTTTATGCTTTTGAAGTAAGTTGTTTTTTGTTTAACCTCTGAAGTCTCAAATTTCTTCCAGAAGTTTGCCCTTCAAAATGTTGAAGCCAAGGGACGCCTGGGTGGCTCAGTCGGTTAGGTCTTGATCCCAGGGTTCTGGGAGCAAGTCCCACATTGGGCTCCTTGCTCGACAGGGAGCCTGCTTCTCCCTCTGCCTGCAGCTCCCCTTCTTGTGCTCTTTTTCTGACAAATTGTTAAAAAAAAAGTTGGGGCGCCTGGGTGGCTCAGTCGTTAAGCATCTGTCTTCGGCTCGGGATCGGGCTCCCTGCTCAGCAGGAAGCCTGCTTCTCCCTTTCTCCCTTTCCCACTCACCCTGCATGTGTTCCCTTTCTTGCTGTCTCTCTCTTTGTCAAATAAATCTTTTAAAAAAAAAAAAAATGTTGAAGTCAGAGAATGAAGGGGGTTTGGAACTCAGAT